ACTAGAAAATTATCACTCTGAATAATTATACTTTTTTTTCTTTTTGTTCTTTATTTATCGCTGCTGTTAGCTGACGCAACGCATTCAGGTGTTAAAAGTTCACTGGCCACTATCATGCTGTTCCTGCCTCTTTTAGTGTTTTTTCCTTTACTGCTTAACCTGATGTGTGCCATGCAAAACAGCACTCTCTATCGATCTCCAACAAGCGATCTTTCTTTCGGTAACTTTAAGCGCGACCCCTTCTATTACTTGTGGGCAGAGAAACTTTCATTATCCATGGTGAGAGATCAGGTGGACTTCGGTTTTCTTTGTGTTGGTGAACCAAATTGTTATTCGTTCAACATGGCAGCGTATCCTGACTCTAAAGGTCTTTATCTGTGTGAGTTGTTGGCCACACACAAGTACACAGAAACTGACAAGTTCCATGCAAATGCTTCCTTCCATCACTACGGTCCGTTGGTAAGATTTCTCTATATGTTTGGTGATAAACACTCTTTGTAGTTCATTGAATACAAACTGAATGATTCAAGGAATGTTTACTTTGTATCTAGCCTCTGTGTGTAAGCGCTCCATGTAAGAACGGTGGTGTCTGTGTTCCTGAATATAAATGGAGCTCCTTTCATTGTGACTGTAGACCAGGATTCTGCGGAACTCACTGCGAAAGGGGAGGTATGGAATCTATCCTACTTTCTGTTGCATGAAGAACTTAAAAAAAAAACTCATACTGTTATTTTCAATCATCTGTTATAAATTGATGGTTTACCTATGTTTAACCTTGTGCTATAAAATTAAATGCATTCGAATTAGTCTATTTTACTGCTTTCCCGATAAACATACCTCAGTTTGTTTTTCCTTTGAAGTGCCTATGAAGAGAATTTTTTTGGTGTAAAAATTTAGCTTATCATATTTTCAAACCAATTCCGATAGAAGAAAAAATTTAAAATAACTTCAAACTCGGTTTTTCGGCCTGAAAGTGCTCTTGTTTTGTTTTAAAAGTGTTCCATGGACTGGTAACGAATGAGCGGGTTATGACGTAGAAAACTGTAAAAACTCTCTATTGCACAAATCCCTCACTTCTCCTGTAATTTTGTATCACTCAGCGTTGAAATACTCTTGAAATAATTTCCGATAGCGATGTATACCTACCTTCACCAAGCTCTACCGAGAGTTGATACATCGTACCTAATTAGTAAAGAAAAAATTGGAGGTTGCGAGTACGGTTCAGCCCTACGAAAGAGAACCACGTGCATGAAACGAAGATTTAGACGCA